AGCTGTCTCCTATAAGATTGGGGGGATGGGGAAGGGAGCAAAGAGGGAGGAAAAAGGCTGTCTGCCCAGCTCTTCTTGAAGTCGGGGGGGGGGAGGGGGAGAAGGGGCCCCAGTGCAGCATGACCACTCCTGTTAAAGCATCTCAGGGCAGCAGAGTTCAGCATGTATACCACATTACACTTAGACCATGCTAGATCTGTGGAGTGTTAAAGTTATAACGTGTTGTGGGCAGTCCCATGTTAAGGGTTATTACCATTCTTCCCTTCACCCTTCTGACTTGCCAACAGAGGGCTGGCAAGCAGGGGCATGAGTAGAAAGAAGCCAGGACACTGCTCTGTTGGGGTGCATTTGCGAGGGGGGCAGGTGCTGCTGCTGGGTCCAGTGCATTTTGGGATGTTGAAAATTCCTTGTTTTATCTCCATGGAGCAGACCAAAGGTATTCTAACACAAGCTAAGTAGCCCAGAGTTAACCCTTGCCTGAAGTGGGGTAGCTTTATGACATTCAGAGGGCACATAGGCCAGTTGATGAGCTTTAACATATGGATACTCGTGTATTAAGTGCTTTTAGTATGGTCTAAGTGTAGCATGTAAGTTCATCCACAGTCCCCTTGCAGGAAGTGGGTGGCTATGGGGGAGAGACAGTAGTTTACCCTGGGATTCTGGAGGACCTGGCTATCACTATCACCCTACCTGTGATATACCACGTAGTCAAATTAGTTTGATAGAAACCAGCTATTAAAGTGTTCTACATTTTTTCAAACAACATTTTTTGACTGGCTGGCCATTTTTTGTGGCTGGTCTAACATTTTTATTGTGCAAGAATGACTTTGCCTATGTAGCGTGTCTAAATTTGTTGTGCGATTAACCAGTTAGAAACGACAGATTAGGAGGCAGTGAGCAAACTAAGAGCTGGAACTGACAGTAGTTTACCACTGCCATTATAGAAGAGAGTTTTTGAAACAATTAAAGAGACCACCAGTGTAGCTAAGTAACAATAATAACCTTCACTGAAATATACTGCCCTATATGAGAAACCTCCCAGATGGTTCAAACCATAGAATTTCTTGCCTCACATATGAGGAATGACTTGGAGCAGTATTCTTCATACTCAGGTGCAGGGTTATCTCTGCACCTTTATATAAATTGACTTTTTCAGGACCTTTAACTAGGAATTAAGCTGAGTATTGCTTTTGTTCTATAACATTATTTCATATTTTATTTATGCGCATACAATCTTTATAGTTGCATAGTATAGTTGCATAGTTGGTAGGGTTGCAAAGGACCTAAGCAGATCTTCAAGTCCAACCCCCTACCATGGCAGGAAAAAGTACTGGG